GGCTCTGCCTTGCAGAGCTGGACCTTCTCAGGTGCTGCCCACTGTGCTATGTCTCTAAGCTCAGGCCCTGCATGGATGGAGGGGGCAGGGGCCAGCAGAGGCGGCCTCAGTGTGGGTTGGGCCAGGAGGAGGCCCCGAGCAGCAGTTTGCACCATGAGGCACACTAAAGCTCCTGGCAGTGTGGTCACATGGCCTGCACCCCCACACACTGCCGTGTGCTGGACGTGAACTCCAAATACTCCTCCTGCTTCTTTTGCCCATGAAAAATAAACACACCGAGCAGCCAGGGAGCAGCGGCGAGGAAAAGCGCTGGCTCGTCATTGCAGCTGCCAAGCCCCGCCACCCCCATAAGATTCCTTGGAACCTGCAGGGGAAGCACTGGACTGGGACCCGGACCAGCGGCACACTGGGCCTGGGGATCTTGGGCCCTGCTTTCAGCCTCCCTCTGGATCCAGTGTCCAGCACATGGGCCACTTTCGGGCACAGAATTGCACACAGGCTGCGTGTGGTTTTCACTCTGTGGCGTGGGTAGACGTCACCCTTGTTCCTGCCGGCATAGCTGGCTGGAGCCAAGACCACTGGCCTATAGGCCGGTGTCACCCCTGTGCCTGCCTGGGTGCCCTGGGTACCCTGGCAGCTGTGGAGTGATATACCTCACTCCCCGCTCACCGGTGCATGAGTTCTGCCACACCTGCTGTGTGGTCGTGGACAGGTCCCCCACCCTCTCTGTGTCCCAGCATTCACCTCAATGAGCCTGGGATGGCCTATGAGATTGTGGTGAGCTGGCAGCATGTGCAGCGGGCAGCAGAAGGCCTGGGAGGTCTGAGTACTGGTCACACCAAGCTCTTCCTGACCTGCCTGGTGGGCTCTGGAACCCCCATAGTCTGTGGTTCTGCTGGGCCTGCCAGGGAGCTGGGAAGATTGGGTCAGATCCCCACATCCCACAGGGAAGGAGCCAGCTGCTTCTGGCCAGCCTCAGATTAATGGCTTTTAATTTAGAATTTAATCAATGTGGCTTCTCTCCGGAGAGCTGGATGCTCTGGTCTGGGAGTGAGTTGTATGATTTGTGAGTGGGGTAGGCAGGGGGCCCATGGTGGCCTCTCTAGGCCTCTGCCTTGGCCCTACCTTGACCTTGTTCTGCTTTGCCTGTAGCCAGCAGGCGTCCTGATCATGGAGGACTGCAACGTGCACTCGGCTGCCAGCATCCTGGCCTCGGTGAAGGAGCAGGAGGCTCGCTTCGAGCGGCTGACATGGGCGCTAGAGCAAGAGCGGCGCCATGTTGCCCTGCAGCTGGAGCGCGCCCAGCAGCCTGGTGTGGGCAGTGGTGGCATGGGCAGTGGGCAGCCCCTGCCGATGGCCTGGCAACAGCTGGTCTTGCAGGTAACAGCCCAGTGATGCAGGAAGGAAAAAACGGCCAAGTGGGAAAACAATCAAGGGGCCTTGGTGGGCCACAAGCCAGCATGCATTGGCTTATTACAAGACCTCCTGGGGCCTCTGTGGAGAGAAAAGTAGGACCCCAGACAGACTAGAAATCCCACTTGGGTGGGCAGGGCACCATGTGATGAATGGGCCGGATGCAACCTGACCCTCAGAACAGCACCTTCCACTTGAGTGAGACTCCAGGACCCAGGCAGCTGGACAGGGTCTGTCTTGGGCAGCTCAGTGGTCAGCATGGTGACACTGATGGTGTTGCCAGCCCTGGAATCTCCCTGTGGTGGTGTTCTTCATAGCGTGCATCAGCGGGTCAGCCCCGGGGGAGGCTCAAGCAATGCGCTAGGCTCTGCCTGCAGCTCAGGGGGTGACCTGGGAGCTCAGTTTCTCCACCGGCTCAGGCTGCTGAGCAGCCCCCAGGAGGTGTGGAAACCTGTCTGCTCTGTGGCCAGGCCCTGAGAACTCTGAAGTTGGGGTGTATGTCCACCTGGCCCCCTCCCGCCCCCGCACTGTGCTCCAGTGTCTACCCTGCAGATGAGTGCAAAAGCACCTTGCTCACGGGATGGTAGGGGCAGGACAGGGAATTGTGGGAGTCCTGGAGCTTGGTGCAGTTATTTTGGTTTCCATTATTAACTGAGGCATGGGGTAGGGGACAGGCAAGGGTGGAGCTGTCCCAGGGATTCGGGGGAAGCTGGGGGTAGGGTGTCTGGGTGGGGGTCCACCCTGCGGGCCTCCCACTGTGGCCCTTCCTCACCATCAGGCTCAGAGGCTCAGGGGGCAGAGGTCTGCTGATTCCCCTGATTTCCACATAGTGACACTGGAGGGCCCTCCCAGTGGGCTCCTTAGTTCCCTGAGCAGGGCAGCAGAGTTGTTCTCCTAAACTTGGCAGCCAGAGTGCCTCTCGATGTGTCCCCCAGTACGTGCACACCGTCCCTTCCCTGGTGCTGCTGAGCCTCTCAGAGGTGAGGCCTGTACCTCCAAACTCGAGAGGGAACAGAAAAGCCCAGCTGGGCCACATGAGGACAGCAACAGCTGATGACCCTGAGGCCACCCCTCAGGCGCCAGGCGCTCTATCCAGCCCTCCCTGCCCGGAAAAAGCTTTGACCCTTTAGCCCAGAAGGCACTGCCAGGGGTTGATGCCCCCGGAGGGAAGATGTTCCCATGGCCTGGAGCTGCCCTGGCTTCCTGAGGGCTGTGGAGGGAAGACCTCAGGCCACTGTCCCTCTCTCCCCACCACCCCTCCCCACCCGAGGCTTTCCCAGACTGCCCTTGATTTCCTTTCTCTTGGGAGGAGATAATCTTCCCAGTCTGAGATAGGAGAGCGTGTGTTCCCGGGGCGGTGGCTAGACTGGCAGGGCAGGTAGGAGGTAGGGCCACATCTGACCGTCCAGGCCTGGCAGGCAGCCGTGAGGCCAAACCTGCTTTCTAGACCCATCTCAGTGTGAGGTGCCTGGCGACCTACCTGCTGAGCCCTAGGGCTACTTGGAGCTGGTCCTCAGGGTCAGAGCTAGATTCTGCACAGCTTTGGAGCTGGTGGCAGGGGATTGAGAGGCCAGGGGCTACTGCTGCTGTGACCCCCCTGCCCCCTAGGCTGCTCCACAGTCCTGGCTGCCAGCCCTTCATCCTCCAGCAGGACGGGTTCCCTCCTCCCTTAGTTTAAGCAGGGCTGGCCCTCACCCAGTGCTATGGGGCGGGGGCAGGGGGATGCCATAGGGATCTATCCAGACTTGGGTTGGGGCATTAGCAGCTGGCAGAATTTTGGAGAAGACAGAAATGAACCCAGGGTAAGCTTCCAGGCCAAGTTCCCTTAGGGCAGTGGTCCAGTCCCCCTGCTTCTGCTCCACCAAGGGCTGCTATGGATAGATGATACAGGGGGCCAGTGGTCAGGTCAGCTCATCCCTGTGCAGATGGTAAAACTGAGGCTCAGAGGGACATGCAGTGGACATCCAGAGTGCTTGAGCATGCTGGCTGTGTGGCGTATGTACACGGCACACTGGAAGAAAAGAGGTGGCTCGGTTTTCTGAGTGCGGTCTGTGGAAATACAGGAGGCAGGCTGGCCCTAGCTCTGTTCCTCTTAGAGCCTAGTTACCTTGATCATAATGCAAGAGCTTGTTTTTGTGGGGTGTAACTGAAAGGGTGGCCCAACCCAGCCCTTCCCTTGTCTACATTTCTTTCCAGCAGAGCCAGACTCCCCGGGATGTGATTGCACCTTCTCACCAGGCTTCTGGAAGGAGGGAATAGTACATTCTGATTAACCATCCACTCTGAACCCTCCCCCCCGCCCCCACCATCCACTCTGAACCCTCCCCCCCGCCCCCACCCTGCTTCCCTCGTTGCCACTTCCCAATAGGTCAAAGGCATGGAGGAGAGAGGGTCTGGTGCAGGTCAGCCTATAAGCTTTCGTGTAGGGTCACTGAACAGTTGTCCCCTCCCTTTGATCTCTTCTGACACTCCTAGAGGGATCCTAGGCCTGTGTCTTGAGGGGTAAAGCCTAAGGTAAAATGGGTCAGTGCCGGTCCGTTTGCCATGTGTGGGTTGAGCTCTGTGGGGACCCTTACTTGGGGGGCCTTTCTGGGAATGGGCAGGGGCCTGGAGCCGTATCTGACAGAACTTGCAGCCCTGTTAGCGCTGTTATCATAGTAGCTACTGTCTCATCGGCCCCCATTTCACGGCAAGGGGAAACTGAGCCGCAGCCGGGATGGGCAGCCTGTGCCCTTGAAGATGGCCTTGCCCTCTGTCCTTGGCTGCACTGAACCCTACACTGCCAGAATTGTTTCCCCAACTCTACAGGGAGAGGGACCTGTGAGCTCTCTTCCTGGGGGAAGACCGAAGCTGGGGAAGAAGGACTCGGCCCAAGTCCCTGGACAGGAAATATATCACCCCGCGGGAAAGGAGGGTGTGGGGGAGGGATCAGGAGTCCAGACCTCGCTGTAGGAGGGACCCCAACCCGCCCTGGCAGCAGATCTCGCTTCTCATCTGCCCCGCCCCAGCCCGGCCCGCCCTCCGGGCCCCGCCCCGCCCCGCCTGGGCGCGGCCCCGCCCGATTGGCTGGTCGCCGTGACCGCTGCCAGATCCGCCCCCGCAGGGAGCGAGTCCACGGAGCTGGGAGCGGTGGAGGTATCCGAGCAGACCCCAGTCCAGCCGCCGCTGCCCCACCTCCGACTCACACCTCCTGGGCCGGCCCAATGCCGGCCGAACTCAGACAGGTTGGAGGGAACTTGGTCCCGGGTGATGGGGCCCGATCCCGGGACTAGAGGCAGAGGGCGGGGCGCCGGCATTCCTCGGAGGACCCGCTTTTGTTCCTAGGAGCCGCGGGCCGGAGGTGGCTATTGTCTGAGCTCCGGACCGGCGCGTTGCTCTGGGCCGGGCGGGGCGGCGGAGTGCAGCGGGAGGCTGTGCACGGCGGAGCCGCGAGGTCTCCGGGGGCGGGGCGCGGGGTCCCCTGCCGGTGAGACCCTGCGTGGGGAGCGGGGCCGGGACCTGGTAGGTGCACCCTCAGCTAGCGCCCAGGACAGGTGCCGGCGACAGGAGCCGGGGGGTTGGGGGGGTGGCGAAGGCCTTTCGGTGCACCTCTCTCTGTGCAGGAGAGAGGCGGAGTCCGGAGAGGGAAGACCAGCTAGGCCTCCAGGTCCCGGGGACCTCCTGGGCCGCCGATCCCTCTTCAAAGACCCAGCGCGGGTTCCGACTCTGGGGACCTGCGAAGGAGGTTCGGGAGGGAGCTTTAAGGGAAGCCCTGTCTGCAGCGGCAGTGCACGTGAGGGGTGGAGTGGAGGACAGCCCTGCCCACGTCTCAGAGACGGGTGGAGTCTCGGAGGAAAACCCGGGCAGTCTGCCTTCCAGTACTGGGGCTGGGGAAAGCATATGGGCTACCTCCATTCTTGCCCAGAGGGGGCGGAGTCCAATAATAGGCCCAGAAACAGGCCGAGTCGAACAACCTCACCGCGCCCCTTGTGCTGGGAGGTAGGTCTCCCATGCACGTGCTTGCTCGGGACAGCCAATCTCTGCCTGCTCTGTATCCCTGATGTGGCCCCCAGGGTCTGGCCACTGGCAGTTGACTACCCCAGGGATGGAAGGGCCATTGGGGGTGTTGCGGAATGTGACCCACAGTGTGGTGAGTGGATATGGGCTGGGCTTGGGGAAGTTGGGGTGGATGACAGCCAGCTCGGCTTTCTGTCCCCCACAAGCCATCCACTACCCCTTGGCCTGTCTGCCACTGCTGCTGTAGAGGAGTGAGCTCCAGTCTGCCAGGGCTGGGCAGAGGCCATGGCACCAAGGGAGAGGGTATCTGTGGTGGTCAAGGGCTCGCTCCCTGTTAGGAGATGGCAGCCTGGTTTGTCCTTGTGTCCAGCTGGGATGGCCATGCTGGTGGGAGGGGGCCGTCACTCCTTCACCTCTCCATTCATTCAGCAGCATTCATCGTATGCCCTCTGGGGTGCTGACCCAGAGGTTATGGGAACCAGGTGTTTGCCTCAGGCCGGTGGACAAGGCGGGACACCTGCCCCGTGGTTTGTTCTTTGTGACACACACCATGGGTGCTTGCTCACTGGTCAAGTGCAAGCGGCACAGGTAGATCCATGTCCAGCCTGGCCCCCCTGACTGCTGCTCGGCTCATTTCCTCAGCACCCCCCTTCCCACATGCGCCCCAGAGACTTTTGTGGACTTTTGCCCTGGTGGTGTCCCCTCTATGTGCTGTCCCACATCTGGTCACAAAGGTGGACTGGCACTATCCCCTGGCTGTCCCACAGCCTTGACAGCCCAGGCCCTTCCTGTTTCTGTGTAAGGAAGCTGAGCCCTTGGTGTGCAGAGGGGCCCAGGGCCCTCTCGCTGTGCTCAGCTCCACGCTGCCAGGCACACTCTTGAGAGCATCACCTTTTTTAGGGTACTCCAGCCCCCACTCGGAGGTCTGGGCCAGGCCCTTCCCATAAATTCAAGGAAGCTCATGGGAAACCCTGGCTTGGGCAGCAGCCCTTGTCCAGGCCAGAGCCCATGGGCCATAGAGCAGGTGGACCATGGGTAGGAGTATCATGGGATGGATTAAGGCTCGGGAGGTGGGTAATGGGAGGCTGAACAGTGTTCCCAGTGAGAGCTGCAAGAATGAGGCCAGGGCTGAAGAAGGGGTGCCAAGACACAATTGACAAGATGTGGCAGGATTTGGGACATGGGGGAGGGCTGGGGGTGGTGTGTCCAGGTAGGCACCCATGTCTGGGGTATGGGGAGAACCAGGGCTGTAGGTCCAGGGGTGCCTGAGGGTGGGCTGGCCTGGGTAGGTGGACGCGGGTGAGACTTGGGGCCCTAGAGCAGGTCCTCAAGGCCAGACAAGGATCCAGGCACACTGGGCAGCTTCCTCTGTTGAGCATCAACTGTGTGCTGGTCGCCAGCCCACGATCCCATGTCTCCACCCAAAGCTGTCGCGCGCAGTTCTATGGCATGGGTCGACCCTGGGACTCCCCCTCCCCTAGGCATCAGCTCACCCATATGCTGCCAGCTCTAGGCTCCTGAGTGGATGCCTGGGTGGTGGTGGAGGGAGTCTGGACACATGGTAGAGGACAGGAGGGGTGATGAGGATACGTGTGCACAGACAAGTGCCTCTGGGGTGCCGGGCACTGTGCGCTGAGTGCTGTGAGGAGAGCGCACAAACGGGTTTCCTCAGGCCTGTGGGCCAGGCTGGGGTCTCGTGCACATGTGTGTCCAGGTCCCTGTCTGTGCACGTGTGTGTCCAGGCGTTTGAAATGGGGGCCAGGCCCTCCCGTGGTCTCCAGCTGACTCAGGCTCCTCCTGCCTGCCCGCCTGGGTGAAGTCATCGCCTGTTTTTAGCTCCCTGAGGTCATTTGCCAGCAGGGGCTCTCGGTGCCTCCAGATCGCGCTGTAGGGCTGCCTGGACTGGGTGTTAGTGGGTGATGCTGCAGGATTGCCAGGCCTTGTTGGAGGACCCCAGCTCTCCTTGACACCCCAGCCCCTCGTGTTCCTGACTACACTGTCAGAAGCTCACCACAGGCAGGAGTGAGAAGATGAAGCTAGACTGCAGAGTAGCCTTGGGTCTGAGATGTGCTCCCCCTCCCACCATCCCAGCCAGGGAGCAGGGGCTCTTGTCTGAGAGTGTTAATATATGCAAATGTATGCAAACCTACTGAGGGGCCATATCTCACTGGCAGTGCAGTGTCCTGGGCAACAGTCCTCGTCCCCTCATGTCAGTCTTGCTTCCTTCCCCTCTCCCACACTTGCAGCCAGCAGGGCAAGGCCTGAGGCCCCTCCAAGCCTGGTCCCCCAGGTACCAGCAGAGAGAATTCAGTTCCTGCCACACATATGCTCCCACATTTGCTAAATACAGGGGCAGCCGAGGCCCCCAGCAGTGACGAGCTTTTCCTGAACCTTCTCCAGTTTCAGGACTGTTCTGGCTCTCCAATACCCTTGGAGAAGCGTTCAGGCCACCCTGCCCAGCAGCCCGCCAGTGTGTCCCTACTCGGGACATGTAGGGACTCAGTTTACTTCTCTTTCCCAGGGCACGCTGCTCCTCTTCCCGGCAAGGTCTCCAACAGGCACTCCACCTGTGTCCCAAGACTGAGAAGGTGACAGCCAAGGCTGTGGCCCACACTGGGTGCGGTGTGGCTAAAAGGCTCTGGAAAATTGCCTTTACGGGTGCCTGAAATTCCCCCATTAGCACTCTGTGAGGTTCTGGGTAGATCTTCTGCCCTCTGTCAGACCTCACTGCCCTTTAAAAAAAATCATGTGTTTCTTCCTGCCCAGGGTGGGGTGGGAGTGTGCATTCTGTAGCCTCTTCCTTCCTGGGTCTACAGAGCCCAAGGGATGCACCTGTGCTATCCTGTTGGTCAGGCCCCTCCTTGGACCCCTGAAGAGGTTGCAGGGACTCAGAATCTCAACCCTGTAAGGAGCCGAGGGGCTCAAGCATTCCTGCAGAACAGGACCCCAACCCAGGAAAACGTTATACCTTGAGGACCTTGGGAGACAGTCCCTGAAGGCAGCTCCAGCCACCTTTCTCTGCATAACTCCAAGGCCCTGGGACAGGAGCCAGAGTAGGGCTCTGATGCCAGGCAGGAGCAGGTGGGAGCTGCCGGCCTTCCCTGGGCCTCAGCTCCACGTCTGCACAAGATTTAGGTGCCTGGGGCCCAGCCGGGGGACCCATCCTACAAGACACTGGGCCTAGGCTGCAGAGCAGAGCCTGCCTTCTGCGGACCCAGCCCTGGCTGTCAGGAATGTGCCCCCTATTGCCCCCCCAGCCCCCGGCCTGGGTTTCAGACCCTACCCATCTTGGCCAGATGCTGACCCTGAAACATCAGTGCTGTGTGGAGGACCCATATGGTCAGACACCTGTGGGTAGACTCTGGATCTCCTCGCCACTGAGCTGTGGGCTGGCCTGTCCTCTGAGCCTCAGTTTCCCCACCAGTTCGTAGACATGTAGACTTTCAAAGGGCCTCTGTCCAGAGCCATTTTGCCTGGAATTGCATCCCAGCAGGGATGATGGCTAGGGGGAAGCACAGTTTGAGAATGAGGCAGGTGTTCAAGAGCTGAGGGCCAGGGTTGGGGAGACCTGGAGTGGTGAACAGGAAGGAGTCACTGGTATTCTAGTCAAGGACAAGCAGGGCCTCCTGGCCTGAATCACTCTCTGGACTCTGATATGACACCCAGGGTCTCAGTGAGGGTAGGGCCAGGCCTTGCCCACTCAACACCCCAAGAGTATCTGGGCCGGAAGGAGCAAGGATATTTTGGTGCTCTGAGTGCGAAGGGCATTCTGGGAAGTGGGTATTTCTGGCCCGCGAGGGTGTTTGGCTGGTCTTAGGGATAGAGGGAGCCTGGGACACAGTGAACAGTACTGAAACTGCCACCCCAAGGCCTCTGTACTCGACATTTCTGAGGTGGGGCAGAAAGGAGACCCAGGACACCCGGAGAGCATCCCGAGGGGCCCGCCCGGCCTCCTCGCACCTCTGGGAGCCTGCGGCAGTAGGCCTCACAGCTAAGACACTGCTGCCCACGCCTACGCCACTGAAGGCCTGGGCCTTCCAGCTCAGCCCCAGGAGGCCCACCCCGGGGCCCCCCTTGGGGTGGGGAAACAGGACAGGGTCAGCCTGTCATTGTTCAGAGGCAGGAACATACTGTTGTCCTCACAAGCTGGGGTTGAGAGGTCCTAGGGCCAGTGGGTTCTGGGGGTGGGGACGAAGTCACTCCTGGCGTCCAGGCCAGTACCTACCTGCACTTTGGGGGCAGGGGGTGAGCTCTGAGTCCTCCCACCAACACCCACACCCTTCGCCCAGGAGCAGAGCCCAGGCAGCCAGGTCTCATTGGCCACAATGCCGGAGGCGCCTGAGGTGCTAGAGGAGACAGTGACAGTGGAGGAGGACCCTGGCACACCCACCTCCCATGTGTCCATCGTCATGTCGGAAGATGGCACTACAAGGCGCACAGAGACCAAGGTACGGCCGGGCCCCAGTGGTTGGCAAGTGGGCCGTGTAGCTGCCATTGTCCCATTTGTAGAGTGGGCGCATGTCCCAGCCTCCTGCGGGCCCCTTGTTCGGGTGGACCACAGGCCACTCTGGCCCTGTGGGGCAGTGTCTGTGTCCCTTAGGTTGCCCGGCCCATTGGCTCTCTTCTTTCTCACCAGGTCACCAAGACGGTCAAGACAGTGACCACACGAACAGTGCGCCAGGTGCCTATGGGCCCAGATGGCCTCCCGGTCCTGGATGGTGGCCCCCCGCTGGGGCACTTTGCCGATGGCCCCCTGGACCGGCACTTCCTGCTGCGTGGGGGTGGCCCAGCTGCCACGCTCTCTCGAACCTACCTCAGCAGTGGGATTGGCTTTTCTGACAGCCCTGAGCCCCGTGACATCCCCAGCTATGGCAGCCTGTCCCGTGGGCTGGGGGTACGGCCCCCTCGTGGGGGCCCCCTTGGCCCAGGCTCTGGTGACGGCTGCTTCACACTGCCTGGCCGCCGTGAAGCCTTCACTGAGGGCCCTGAGCCTGTGCCATCGGCCAGTCGCTCCCAGCCTGAGCGCTTCCAGGCAGAGCCCTATGGCCTGGAGGACGACACACGCAGCCTGGCTGCCGATGAAGGGGGTGGCCCGGAGCTGGAGCCTGACTATGGCACGGCCACGAGGAGGAGGCCTGACTGTGGGCGGGGCCTTCGCACTAGGTGAGCACCCTGCGCCCTGCCACCGCCTCCAGGGAGCCTGCCTTCCACTCCCCTGCCACAGAGTACCCCACAGGTCCTCTGGCTGCTAGGGCTTAATTAGTTCGTCATGCACAGGTCAGCTTGGCCTCGTTCTTCTCCAGGACAGCAGCAAGGATAGGCTCTGGGATGGTGGAAGTTGCCCTGGACGCCCTCCCCGCAGGTGTGGGGCGTGAAAGAAGCCGGTGACAGTGTCCCACACCTGTTGCCCCTGCTCTAGGCTGGTAGCCCCGAAAACAGGAGCCCAAAAGGCTCAGGGTGTTTCCCTGAGCTTCAGGTCCCAGCCTCTCCCCAGGCCTCAGTTTCCCCCACGCACGGTTGCAGCTAGAACCCAGACCCTCACCCCTGGCCCTTTTTAGCGAAACCTCTGGTTCTGTTCTCTCTGCCCTTAGTTTCTCTATCTGTAGAATGGGAACATGACTACAGCCTGGGCTCGCAGTGTGTGGCATGCCCATGGGCAAGACACCTGGCCCCTCCTGGCCTGGATCCCCTCCCCCCAGGAAGTGGGTTTGATGGTGACAACCCACAGAGATCTGTGTCCTGGGGGACTGGTGGTCCGAATGCCCCTCAGATGGGCCTACCAGGATGGCCATGTGCAGAGAGGATCAGCTCCTCCTCTGACATCCTGGCAGCAGCCAGAGATGGGCCACATGGGAAGGTGGGACTTCCAGTCATGGGAAGATGTTTCATAGAAACACATTTAGCTCAGAATCAGAGAACACTGCCCTGTGATAGAGATAACGAGCCGTGTCTGGGAGGATGCAAGCCCTGATGGCCATTGCCTGGGGTTTGGTTCTTTCACTGGTTCTGAGTCGGTTCTTACTGGGCTGAGGTATGACTCTCAGCAGCCACGTGGTGCTTGGGGCCAAGTACCAACACTCTAGGCCCAGCCCCACCCTCTGTGGGTTCATATTCCCCTGGAAGTCTGTTGGGGCAACTTGGGGGCAGGGCCAGCAGCCAGCAAGACACATTCATGTGCCCTGCTCACTTGCACAGGGCCTATGAGGACGCGGCAGACGATAGCGGTGAAATGATGGAAGAGAGGCCCCCATTCCCAGCCACAACAGCACCCCTGGCCCAGCCAGAACGGGGCAGCCTGGGCAGCCTGGACCGGGTGGTGCGGCACTCGCCCTCCGTGGACAGTGCCCGCAAGGAGCCACGTTGGCGGGACCCTGAGCTGCCTGAGGTCCTGGCCATGCTGCGGCATCCCGTGGACCCCGTGAAGGCCAACGCGGCGGCCTACCTGCAGCACTTGTGCTTTGAGAATGAGGGCGTCAAGCGGCGCGTGAGGCAGCTGCGGGGACTGCCGCTGCTTGTGGCTCTGCTGGACCACCCAAGGGCAGAGGTGCGGCGCCGGGCCTGCGGGGCACTGCGAAACCTCTCCTATGGCCGAGACACTGACAACAAGGCTGCCATCCGGGACTGCGGTGGCGTGCCCGCCTTGGTGCGCCTGCTACGAGCCGCTCGGGACAACGAGGTCCGAGAGCTCGTCACAGGTGAGTGGTGCCTGGCCACAAAAGGGCCCCAATCACCACCTCTGACTTTGCTGCCACTGGTGGGGCTGGCACTGTGCCTTTCCGGCAGGCCCCCTCCCCACTGGTCCTACTCCCCACAGGGCAGTGGTGGGGATTGTGTCTTATGGGACTGGAGTTGCCAGGCAAGGCTGTGTGAGCACCTCTCAGTGTGGCCCCAGAAATGGTAGGCCTACCCACCCATGTGGCCGGGATGGGGTGGGGAAGAGAAGGCACCAGCTGTTCTATGGCCCCAGGCTCCCTGCCAGCCCCGCCTCTTGCCCCAGCTCCTCGGGTCCCCACCTCCCCAACCCTGTGGGAGACAGTGGTGCGTGCCATACGCCCGGGCCAGGAGAGGCACTCAGGACCTCTGACAGCTTTTGTCACTTGCTACTGTCTGGTCCGAGCTGGGGCACGATGGAGGGTGCAGCAGGTCCTGGGTGGGGTCACGTGGGCGATAGGGAGGCTCTGCCCATGGTCAGCACTGCCTGGTCAACGGTGCCCCACAGGCACACTCTGGAACCTGTCATCCTACGAGCCCCTGAAGATGGTCATCATTGACCATGGCCTACAGACACTGACTCACGAGGTCATTGTGCCCCACTCGGGCTGGGAGCGAGAGCCCAATGAGGACTCCAAGCCACGGGATGCTGAGTGGACGACTGTCTTCAAGAACACATCAGGCTGCTTGAGGTGGGGGTGGGGCTTGGCTCAGGCACCCTCTGAGCAGCTGCCCTGGGCTGTTCCTGGTCAAGGAGGCAGGAGCCAGCCACCAGAAGCCCCGTGCACACAGCTGTCCTGGGATAGCCATGTCCCCATGTCCCAGATAACCTGGAAGGCAGCTAGCGGCCCGAGTCCCAGGGCTCAGAGCCCTGTCACAATTTCTGTCTGAGTCCTGAGGATGGGTCCTGACGGGGCTGTACTTACCCCTCAGGGCCACCTCTGGACAAGCTCTGCCACTCTGTTATGCCCTACCCAGCTTCAACCCACTCTTCCATCATGGTGACATCCAGGGAATAGGGAGCCAGGGCCCTCATCTTCAGCCTGCCTCAGAGGGCTCACCCCACCCCTGTGACCTCTCCTCTGACACCCTGGGAGGCCCTGCAGGCAGTCCTGGGTGTCCACAGTCCTGGCTGGCCATCAAGCTATGCCCTCATGGCCCAATAGGGTCCTGGTCACAGGAAAAGTAGAGCCCAGAGATGCCACTGGGGCAGGAACCAGAGTTGCCTGTGCAGATTCAGGCCTCTGGACCCACCTCTGCCCCTTTCTAGTTCAGGTGGAAATCAGAAAAGCCCCCACCCCCACCCCAGCCACGGAGATGCCAGGCTGGAGCCCTCTCCCCAGGACTCAGCGGTTAGGCCAGCCCCACCTTCCTTCCCTGCTGCAGGCTGGTGCTATCTGCCAAAAATCCCAACAGGGCAGTGTTAGCGCCCACTTTGCAGAGGAAAACTAACCCCCAAGGCCAGGTGGGGACTGGGGGCATTCTCTTGGGAGCCAGGGGTCACGGAGCTTGCTCTTGGCCACCCAGGAACGTGAGCTCAGATGGCGCAGAAGCCCGGCGGCGACTTCGGGAGTGTGAAGGGCTGGTGGACGCACTCCTGCATGCCCTTCAGTCAGCTGTGGGCAGGAAGGACACGGACAACAAGGTGGGCTGAGAGGGATAGGACGGCCCCAGCAGGTGCCAGGCAGGGTCAGTCCCGAAACTGACCGTAGAAGGTCAGGGAGATGGAGCATAAACAGGGCCCACGGGGGCTGGAACTATATGGGTGCCCAGAGTGGAACTGGCCCAAACATCTTGGGCAGCATGGGCTACCTTGTATTGACTATGCCGTGGAGTGGGCCTGCCACAAAGCCCAGACAGGGTCCTACCTGAAGTGGGTGTTCCACCCTGTTCTTCTCTCGGCCCCTCCCTGAGGGTTCTTGTCTGTGTGGGCCGCTCAGCACACACGGGCTGTGGCCACTCTCCTCTGCGAGGTTCGGCGCTCGCTGGGCCGTTCCCCACCAGCTCTCTTCTCCCCACAGTCAGTGGAGAACTGCGTCTGCATCATGAGGAACCTGTCCTACCACGTGCACAAGGAGGTGCCCGGGGCCGATAGGTACCAGGAGGCCGAGCCTGGGCCCCTGGGCAGTACTGCAGGCTCCCAGCACCGGAGGCGGGATGACGCCGGCTGCTTCGGTGGCAAGAAGGCCAAAGGTGTGTGGGTGGACTGGGGTACCACTTTAGAACCACTCCTCCCTGCCCCCCAGGTGGGCAGGTGGGGAAGCAGGGAGCCAAAGAGGGTGCACCACCCCAGGGTACCCACCCGACAGGCCCAATCTTTACCCCTCCATCCTGTGGGGATGCCAGGGGAAGACAGGAGAGAACCCATGTGGTGGTTCTGACTGGTGCCTGGACCTAGTCCCTTAGCTCCAGGGAGAGTTCTATGGGCCCAAGTTTGGAAAATGCCAAAGTTGCACGTGAGACCCTCTGAAGCTCTGGAGAAGCTCTGAGGCTGTACCCTACCCCACCTGAATACCACCCCCACCTCCAACATTGCCCTGCAGCTGCCAGGTGGATTCTGCCACCTTCACCTGTCCTACCTGTGTGGGCCTTTTCTGATCCCTGTACTACTTGTGGGCACTCAGCCCCCTAAAATAACTGCAGTGAGATTCTGCATGCCACCCGCTCAAACCTGGGTGTGCAGTGGGAAGCTGAGGCTTCCTGGGCTGGCTCGGGGGCTGCTGCCCACTCAGGCTCATCTCCTTTCTCCTGTGCTTCCTCCGGCCGCCCAGAGGACTGGTTCCATCAAGGTGAGTCCCTGTTTGTCCTGCCATCCAGGTCTGGCGGGTGCAGTGGGCACCAGGGAGGCACCCCCCACCCCTGATTGCTCAGGCAGGGCCTTTCGGCCTCAAGGCCCTGCTCCCATCCCCAGGGCCTCCTCTGGGCAACCATCTCCATGACAACAGCAGGAATGTCAGCCCTGGGTTGGTTTGGAGGCCAAAAGGCTGTTCTGTAGCCTCAGACTTTGCTTCCCAGGAAGGGCTGGGCCTGGAGCTAGAACTGGAGCAGAGCCAATGTGGGCAGAACCTGGGGATGTCCCTCCAGTGGGATGGAACGTGTGGCTCAGGCTGCGACAACATAAAGGCCCCCGGAGGCCAGGCAGGGTGGGGTCCCCGATTGTCTAAACTGCTCTGCTGCCTTCCAGAGGAGAAACTCCTTCATCTGAGGCGGGGTCGGTGGCTGGGAGGAAGTGGCACACTCACAGGAATACGGGTCGAGGCTGACAGGTGCTAGGTGGTGCTGCTGGAGGGGCTTGGCCTGTGCGCAGGGTCTCTCCTGGTCTAGGTCCTCGATAGCTCTGCCTCAGCCCTACCTCGTTGTGTGGCCAGGCTTGTCCTGTCCCTGCCAGCCCTTGGCTCCTTTGTCTGTAACTCCCTACCTGGCAGCCACAAGCAGGCCACTGGGCACGTCTGCAGTGAAGCTCTCAGCACCTGATGGGAGATGAGTCCTGGCTGCCAGGACAAGGCTGGGACAGCCCCAGGCCCACTGCCACCACTGCCCTCCCTGGGGCCGACCTGCCTATCTGAGCTAAGAACACCTCTGCTCCTCCAGCTCCTTGGAGCCTCCTTCTAGACATGGGTGTGCTTTCTGGGCTCTGGGCAGGAAAGTGCTGCGCCCAGCCCTTCTGTCACACACCTGTCCCCCACAGGGTCCATCTCACCGCCACTGCTCTTCTGTTCCAGGGAAGAAGGATGGTGAGATGGACCGAAACTTCGACACACTGGACCTGCCCAAGAGAGCCGAGGCTGCCAAGGGTGAGTGGGCAGAGGTGGAGTCCAGGATCAAGACAGTCCAACTAGCGAAGCTTTGTGCCACTAAGCAGGCCTAAAGGGCCTTGGGGATTCAATGGGGAAACAGGCCCACAGGTGTGGGCTTCCCCAGAAGACCAGCTAGGCCCTGGGCCCCTGCAGAGGGTTTAGAATCAGGGTCAGTGCCACAGGTCACCTCAGGCCAGGTCAGGGGATAGAGAGGCCAGGAACTTGCTGGGTCACAGCTTTGGATCAAGGCCCTCAGAGAAGGGCAGGGCTGGCCATCAGGGCCTCTAGTGCCAACCAGGGGGACTCAGGCACGCTCCGGGGGGTTTGGGTGCAGGAGGGTGCAGTCAGGTCCAGTTTGGAGGCTAGGCCAGGTCACCCTAATTCATGCAGGGGCAGAGTGGTTTGTGCTGCTAGTCTTCTGTCTGTTGGAACCCTCACATGTGCTGGCATTGATCTGTGTGAAGGGAATCCAGCCTGAGTCAGAGAGAAAGACCCCAGGCAGCAGCCCACCCTGTGAGCCCAGATGCTCCCGAGCAGAATGGAGGGGACCAGCCACAGGAAGTGTCAGGGAGCATCACAGGCTGAGGAATCAGCCTGGGCCAACACCCGAGGGACAATGTGTTTGGGGAATTGGAAGCCTAGCCAGGCTGGAGTGGAGGGAGCATGGGGCATGAGGACTAGAGACGGGGTGACGGCATGTGAATGGAGGGGACAGGGAGGTAATGTCCAGGAACAGGCAGAAAAGCTGCCTCCAAAAGCTGCTCAGCCCCCCCCCCCCCCCCCCAATCTCTGGAACACCTTAGGGAAGCGCTGCTGCCAGGCCTGGACCTCTTGGGGGATGGGCCCTGATGCTAAGGGCAGGGCCTCAGTTATAAATGGGAGCTGGGCCCTGTTGCTAGGGAAGGCAGGTCTTTTTGCTAGGCCCCACCCTCCAGTTGCAGAGCCTCTGTTAGCTCCCCAGAGGGTGGGCCTCTTTGCTAGAGAGTTTGAGTCCTGTTAGGGGAGAGGCCCTGGTTGCCACCTTCTCTCCACCCGTAGGCCTCCTGGATGCCCTGGTTGCCAAGCAGGTCTAATTCCATTTCTTTGGCAGCAGGGTCAGGGAAAGAACAGCATCTCCCAAACCCCCTGCATCTTCACTGAGCCTCTTTTTCCCTCCGTGAAGTGGGACTCTTTCTCTTGGGTGGCCATGCCATTGTTAAACATTCCCCGACTGCACTACACGCATCCGTGGGTCCCAAGTGACTCTTGCCCTGAGAGGAGGAGGAGGGGTGGTACGTGGGGGAGCCTGGGTGACCACAGGCAGCTGGTGCTCTGTCCCCAGGCTTTGAGCTGCTGTATCAGCCCGAGGTGGTGCGTCTCTACCTCTCCCTCCTCACGGAGAGCCGGAACTTCAACACCCTGGAGGCTGCAGCTGGTGCCCTGCAGAACCTCAGTGCTGGCAATTGGATGGTGAGGGCCCATGTCTGCCGGAGAGGGTCCGGAAAGGGAATCCCAAGCATCCCTGTGGCTGCCTGCCCTTGTCTTTGCCCAGGCTGAGGGGAAGGGAGGAGACACTGTCCCTCCCCAAGGTCGGGGAGGCCCAGGGCGCTAGGGCTGCAAGCAGTGTGCCCAGGGTGGTGCGTGTATGGGCATCTAGTGGAGGTGGGGTTGCGTGGTTGGAGCAGGGCTTTGTCAGGAGGACAGTCCAGCTGAAGGGAGGGGTCAGGGCTCAGGTGGGAGAGTGTCCCTCCGGTGTGATGGTGTGACTCTGCCTGCTGAGAGTGCCGCACCTCCTCTGCTGCCGCAGTGGGCCACGTACATTCGCGCCACCGTGCGCAAGGAGCGTGGGCTGCCCGTGCTGGTGGAGCTGCTGCAGTCTGAGACCGACAAGGTGGTGCGTGCTGTCGCCATCGCTTTGCGCAACCTTTCGCTGGACCGACGCAACAAGGACCTCATTGGTGAGGACATGGTTGGGGGCTGAGCCTGGATGCGAACCTGGTGGGTGGCTCTGGGGGTCCTGCCATAGGGGCTGAGGGGCTGGTGGTCAGGGGCCTGGCCTCACCCCCATCGCTCTGCCCTGGCTTCTGGAGCTCCAGCCTTCCTCACCCTGCCTGAGCCTAGCCTTCTGCGAGGACTCCCCCCTCCTGAATCCCCCTTCTCCCCACAGGGGTGGGCAGAGGCGTGTCCTAACACCCGACCCTGCCCCTCAGGGAGCTACGCCATGGCCGAGCTGGTGCGGAACGTGCGCAATGCGCAGGCTCCAGCACGACCCGGGGCCCACTTGGAGGAGGACACGGTGGTGGCCGTGCTCAACACCATCCACGAGATCGTGTCAGACAGCCTGGACAACGCCCGCTCGCTGCTGCAGGCCCGCGGCGTGCCAGCACTGGTGGCCCTTGGTGCCTCCAGGTGGGTAGGGGTGTGGGGGAGGGGCGTTGTGGGTGGGAGTGGACACTGACCCGGTCCTGGGCCTGGCCACAGCCAATCAGTGCGAGAGGCGAAGGCTGCGTCCCACGTGCTACAGACGGTGTGGAGCTACAAGGAGCTGCGCGGTGCCCTGCAGAAGGATGGCTGGACCAAGGCACGCTTCCAGGTGCGGCCTGCGCAGCCTTTCCTTGCTCACTTTGCCAAGCTGGCTCCCCTGCCACAGTGCCCCTGACCCCCACCCCTGCCTGTTTTGTGCTCTCTCTTTGCTAGTCGGCTGCTGCTAATGCCAAGGGGCCCAAGGCAGCACTGAGTTCTGGAGGCTTCGATGACAGCACTCTGCCGCTGGTGGACAAGAGCCTCGGTGAGTACCAGGTGGGGTTGGGGGCGTCAGAACCCATCCCTGAGGTTCAAGAGTAGCCCCTCTACCCAGCGCATTGATGGCAACAAGGCCGGTGAGGACCGGAGGAGGGAAACTCGCATTCTTACAGAAAAATGGCCCCGGGGTGGCCCCTTTCCCTGTCTGCAGCCTTCTGCACCCTCCCCACCCATGGTGTCCACATTGGTGCCAAGTTGGGGTTGGGGGGTGCCAGTGGGCAGTGGCTCGGGAGAAAGGTACAAAGATGTTAGTGACAAGGGGCGTCCAGGGTCTCTGAGGCCAGCCCTGCCATGGGGGGTATATCTGCCCTGGTCCTCCTGCTGCTGCTTGCAGCCAGGCAGCAGCTTGCTCATGCCTTGCAGATGGTGAGAAGCCAGGAAGCCGGGACGTGATACCCATGGAGGCCCTTGGCCCAGGTGAGTACAGGTGCCTGTTTTCCGGTGTGGGGGGGGGGGCGCGGGTGTCTGAGATGGGTCGGGTGGCTTTGCTGTGTGTGTGTGTGTGTGTGTGTGTGTTGCTGGGAAGGCCTTCCCACGGGTACTGGCTGGAAAAAAGATTTGGTTTGGGGTGCTTAGGGAGTGAGGGGGTGGGGAAGCCAGGGAGAGGTCATTGCCCAGTTAGGGTCTTTAGTCAACTGAGGGGAGGCCAGAGGGGCCTGAGCTGCCAGCAGGGAGCAGATAAGCCCCTGCAAGGCCTGAGCCACTTCAGGCAGGGGATGGTGAGAGCTTCGGAGAGGGGCTATGAGAAGACCTGTCCTAGGCCTCCAGAACGGTGCTGGGGAAGGGCAGGTAAGTGCCCTTCTCCCGATGCACCCTGCCCTGGGGGCCCCCTGTCTGAGCCAAGAGGGAACTCTGCCCCTGTGGGGCCTGCCCCTCAGAATTCCTCTTGTGCCCCCACAGATGGATACACTACTGTGGACCAGAGAGAGTGGAGGGCTCGAGGCAGTGCCCCTGCGGGGGACATCTCTGAGAAGGAGCCTTTAAAAGTGAGTGGCTGTGGGCAGGTGCCCAGGGAGGCAGCGTGTGCAGTGGACAGGGGCTCCGGCAGGTGGTCTGGGCCCTGGGGTCCGCCTGGAGTGGGGCTCACCTGTAGGGCTGCTGCACTGGGAGACGGAGCCCAGAGAGAGGCCCCTCTGCTGTAGGAACCTCACATCAGAGTCAGTCTGTGGGCGCAGATGGTTTGAAGCTCACACTCATTGGGGGGGGAGGGGGCACGTCACCGAGGGCCTGCCCAGCACAGGGCCCAGGGCCCCTGGAGTCCGAGCAAGTGTGTCTGCACCCTACCCTGCCTGTTTGCGTGGGCAAGGACCCCTCATGGTCCCACCTCCAGGGCAGCCCCTGCCACCTGCTCTGTGCCAACCCCCTGGCTTTGGTCACAGGCCTCGGTGCATCCACTCGTCCCTCTGCATCTGTGTGAGCCACATTAACTTGGCTCCCCTCCACCCCAGCCCTCCCCTCCTGCGCACCAGCATGGGCCCTGCCCCACTGACCAGCCCAGCGCCCACAGTCAGCTCTGACTAACCTACTCTGTTCTGCCTCTAACACCCACCTGCCCACCGCCCATCTGCTGCAGCCTGACCCCAGCAGGAAGGCTCCTCCAGGGCCCAGCCGGCCCACGGTCAGGCTGGTGGACGCTGTGGGGGACGCTAAGCCTCAGCCCGTTGACTCCTGGGTCTAGCTTGCATGCCTGGTACGTTCTCTCCTCTGGTTGTTTGTCCGTTTCCCGTTCTCTGGGCAGAGAGTTTGTTCATCTCTGCTGGCTGCATGCTCTGTTCTCCCTGCATGCTCCCTGGTGGGACCCCTCCCTGCTCTACCACCTGGAGCCCAGCTGCCTGAATGCCCTTTTCAGGGAAGGACAAGCCAAGTCAGGGCCCTGAGGAGATGGGACCAGAGCAGGGATGGCCCCCACCCCTTCAAATACCCAGCCCCTAAAGACCAGCAAGTTGGGATTGACCCTGGTGCTGAGATCCTCAGGGTCTGCCCACACCGCCCACGGCAGTGCCTGTGTATATACTTCCACCCGCCTAGTCTGTGGAGGCAGCCCCCCACCGCCCTTGGGCCACTCCGCTCAGCCTTCCCCTCCCTCCTCAGGGCCTGGGCCCAGCCTTTCATTCTTAGGGATCTGATCGTGGGAAGAAGGGATCTCCAGGGCCAGCCTGCACAGAGCCTGCGTGGAGCTTGGAGCCCCCTGGTGGCAGGGCTCAGCAGCGCCTCTGCACCAGATCCAAGGCTGGACTTGCTGGACCTGCCTACCTTCCCACCCGCGACTCCCTCCCTCCTAACTCCCTAGGCAGAGTTAGCTGTTTACTGACATGGTGCTGTGTGCATGGTGCTGTGTGTGAGTGAGAGAAAAGGCTGAAGGGGCTGCAGGGCAGGGCTGCCCCAGGGAGGCAGCAGGAAAGGGGGCCTGGCTTTGCTTTGGGACCAGAGGAATAGGAGAGTGTAGCCCTGTATAGGCAGTGCCCCAGAAGGGCCAGGCTGCTGGCCCTGGGGACAGGCAGCTGGATCGGGAGGGGGCTCAGGAGTTTGACTCTGGACGGTAGCGGGGATCCCCTGGGTTCCAACTCCCACCCTGTGTGGCGGGCCAACCACCCAGGGGGCTTACCACCAAGAAAGGATTGGAGACAGCGAAATGGGGCCAGGCTGTCCTTGCCCCCACCCTGCCCTTGGATGTGTGGAACCCTGGTGCAGTGTGGGGCTTCCTAAGTGGCACTGGCACTGGCCCTGGTACAGCTTCGGCACCCTGTCTGCTGGAGCCCCACGGCCCGAGAGCTCCAGGGCGGACGCTCAGCAGCAGCAGCAGCAGCAGCAGCAGCAGCAGCAGCAGCAGCAGGGGACTGCCGCTCAGTGCCTGCTGTTTGTGACTTCTTCAAAACAGAAGAAAAACACTGACAAAAAGCATTAAAAACAAAACCAAAATAAGACTGTATTGGTAAACATGTACATTTTTGTAAAAAAATTTAAAAATTAAAAAAAGCAACAAAGGAACTTCTTTCGTGTCCGGGACCTCTTGTCACACAGTGATCACTGCTCCCTGTTGGGGGGGGGGGGGAGCGGGTTGGGGGGGGCCACATGGCCCCAGGGGTCCAGCGGGAGCTCAGCTCTCAGCCCCCATGGGTGTTCCTACGCACGTCCTCCCAGACTCACTTCAATCCTTTCTACATACAGAGAGGAGGGGGCTTGCTTCTGGGCAGTACCTGGTCCCGGAGGCCCAGAGTGGTGTCCTGGCCAGAGGCTTCTCTGGGCAGAGGTGGGTTCATCCAGAAGAGGGCAGTCCCTGGGAGCCTCTGAGGTGACCAGAGGTCCAAACACTCTAGGGGTTGGAGTTGCAGGGACAGGGTTGGGGCTGGGGGCAGTGAGGGGTTCAGCAGAAGCAAACCAACTCTACCTCATCACTCACCAGCTGTGCCGCCTGGCCTGCCCCCACTCTCTCTAAAACAAGGCTGAGTGGGGCTGGGGAAGGTGCTTCCACTCAGTGCCACACAGGGGCCCTGAGGGGCCAGGTGCTGGAGAGACCGTGCCTGGCTCTGCTGTAGGGCTCAGCCCCCCACCCCCAACACCTGCTTGCTCAGGGCTGGCTGTGAAGGGTGGCCAAGTGCCCTGTTCTGGTTCCCCAGGTGAGAGGGCCTCCAGGTGGGGACTTAGCCCAGCTGGGAGCTATCCCTGTGGGCCTGTGGCAGGTGTCCTCAGTCTGGCCACTGGAGGAGCGGATCGGGGCTGGGAGCCCCCAGGGGACACAGGCAACATTAGCACGCGGTGGGGGGGGGGGGGTGCTGTGTGCTTGGCACCGACGTGGAGGCCACCGGGGGAGAAGGAGCAGCGCAGTGGTTGAAAAGAAACACAAAATCAACGTCTTATATCCAAATATCTATTTAGATCTTTAACTACCAATTTGGCATTTTTAATCATGATATTAGTGTATGAGATTATCAACAGTCAACCAGTTTTAGTGAAGTTACATTTCATTCTTAAAAAGAACTCAGAAGAATCAAAGGTGTGTTGTATTATTGGTCACAGCACTGTCACTGAGGCAGTGCTGCCACCTGGTGACTGCAAAGCCAGAGGACAGACAGTACACAGCCCAGGTCTGCAGAGGTTCCCCACTTCCCTCCACTTCCTGTGCCCAGGGACCTGGCCCTGTAAGAAACCCTATGGGAATGCTGCTGGGCATCAGTGGCAGGGTCATGGGCACCAGCCACCCTGATTTGGTGTTTACTTTGCAGATGTACTGCAGCGACTTTGCATGGGGAGCAGATTGCCCTTGGGGTGGGTCAGCTTGTGACAGCCTGCGGCTGCGCGCAGAGGGGCCAGTGAGGGCTGCAGCAGCACATCCATCACAACCTTCATAACCAGACCCAGAGCAGGTAGGAAGTCAAGGCCGTGCTGGGCTGCCTGGGCCCGTGTACACGGCCTTCTCCAGACCATCCATCACCTTTGAGTACTCCAGGTAGGCGGGGAAATGTGTGCACTCGAAGTGGCCACTCCCACGCACGTGTTCCAGAAAGTCTGGTGCTCCTGGGACGATGACGTTGTCAGCCATCAACACCGTCCCCTTCCGTAGCAGGCCACATTCCTGCAGGGTGCAAGACAGATTGGAGGGGGAAAGGGTCAGGAGTGCCCAGCAAGCCTGCTCCAAACCAACAGAACAGATGTACCTGGCCAGGTGGGGGCTCCAGATGGGGGCCTGATGATGGGGTTAGCCCCTGCTACCAGCTCCTGGGGTCACAAGGGTCCCTCTGCAACCCCCACCTCCCCCCGCACCCCGGCAGTGATCACTGCGGGAAAGGGCTGTGCTGAGCGCAGGTCCCACCTCTAGAACCTCAGCTCTGTGAGGAAGAGTCTTCCTCTGTTCACTCCTGCATCCTTGGCCCTAGAACAGCCTATGCTACACAACCGGTGCTCACTGAATGCCAGCTCGGTGAGTGAATAGAGGTAACAAGGGGGCCAGGATGCGGGTCACAGTGCTAAGCCCAGCGGGTCCCTCATCACCCAGTGCCAAGAAAATATGGCTTCTCCAGATAGAAGAAATGACCGGTGCCTGTGTGTAGCACTGGGTGGGGGGCGGAGGAGGGGCAGATCTCCCCACCACAAGTCTGCCCCACCAGGGACTCACTTTGGACATCCCTAAGCCCCGGGTTCGACATGCCCCATTCCATCAGTGACTGGGCCCTGGGCAGCTGGCCTCCACTCCCAGTTCTTGGCTCTGCAGAAGAGCAGCAGGACACAGCCTAGATCACCCAGCAACCCCAGTCTCTGAGCTATGGGAGGGGCTGCTTAGTTACCGGAAACAGTACAAGGAGGGGCCTTACGAGGGAATGTTTACCTTGGGGGAGCAAGACTAGGGCAGAAGTCACCCTAAGTTGCCTCATCTCCTGGATTAGACTTTGGAAGCACAGAATTTTTTTTAAATTTATTTACTTAATGGCAACTGTTAAAAAAAATCCCAAACATGAAAAACAAAGGCGAACACAGGTGACCCCAGGTGGGTCTGACATTACTGGCGGGACCACCTGCGTGGGGCATCTCCAAGTGACCGAAAGTCGCAGGGCTGTAACTCACCCCCCAGGGGGGTATGCCCCAGAACACAGTCTTACCGCAGTCTTGGCCCTCCTGATGGGGGCTGCAAAACATGCAACCGTGAGCTCAGCGAGGCTGGCACAACCCATGAGGCAGAATTTGAGCAGAAAGTGTCATTATGAATCATGGAGTGTTTTCTCTTAGAAAAAGAACTTTCTAGCAATATTGCCTAAAAAGACCAAATAGAGAGCAGCCTGGGAAGGGGGGCCCCTGGAGGGTAGCGCGGGTGTGGGGCAGGGAACGCACCAGGTGAGCTGGGAGTGGGGGCTCCCTGCACGGAGCGTCTGCTGAAGGACCCAGGGCACGCCACTGCCCGCGGTGGGACAATCAGCAAGTTGAAAGACACCAGACACAAAACCATCCAGTTAACCAGGAAAGAAGGCACGAAAGGAAGAAAACTTTGGCCACCTTAGGAGGGTGCTAGGGCCCAGCCATCCCTGAGGAAGCTGGACATCAGGGGGAAGGCGGCGGTACTAGCACTGCCCCTCCGGACACCAAGCACCTCCCAGCCAAGGACACAGGCCCCCTGGAGACCTCTGGCCGGAAGCTGGCAGAGCCTGAGCGAGTCTGCTGCGCTGCTCGCCGGAAGGAGGAGACCCTGTTCAGAGGTCTAGGGCGCAAGTGTGAGATGATTCTAAACTGTCCACAGTTCATCAGCCTCCCAGAGGTGGGTGTGGGCTGGGTTAGCCACACTGGCTTCTAACAAAGGGTGTGGCCCCCAAACTGAGTCACACACTGCACCCAGCCCTCAGTGCTGCTCCTTCGGTCTGTCTCTAGCTCTCTCACCTCTGGCTTCAGGGGAAGCTAAGCCAGCTACCACGTGGTGAGCACACCTCAAGCAGCCCTGCAGAGATGCCTACGTGACAAGGGGCTGAGGCCTCCTCAAAGTTGGTGGCCATCCAACTTTGAACTGCCACCTGCTCCCGCCACCCCTTACTCCCAGCGGAGGGCAGGGGCAGCCAGCCTGCAGAGCCACAGGTGAGGGGCTGCAGAACCCTCGCTTAGGTATGGCCACTCCCACGTGTGACTTCTCTTTTGAGCAAATGACCGGCCCTGAACAAGAGCACGGAGAAAACGATCAGTTTCCTAGTCACTAAAAGGCTGTATCTGCTGCTTTTCTGTAGTCATCGTACACACCAAAGCTGCTGGAATCCTCCATGCTCTCGGTGACACAGGTCCAACTGGACTGGCCACCTGGCTTCCACCCTTAATACCCGATTCTCGGGTTCACACTCCTCTGCCTGGTGGAGCTTTCCCGGCCCAGGCATGTTTCCATACCTGTACCATGCCTGTCCCACGTGTCTCCTTGTCATCTCCCCACTGACCGCCAGCCTTGGCCAACACGGGTGACCAGCCCAAATTCTAGTCCCCAAGCGCCCTCCCAGTGCTCCTGAGGCTCCCACCGGCTGCACCAAGCCCTCCCGCCCAACTCTCCGCATGCGCAGCAGGGGTCTTGCCTGGAGACAAGTCTCACCTCATCCTCAGGTGCTTGGGCGTCCTCATGCCTCTCCTCCCCCATGTGGCATCTGAGGCCCTCCACACAGAGCCCTGGCCCACTGCCCAAAATCGGCCTGCTCCTGGAACATCCTGTGCCCTTTTGAATCCACCAGAACCACCAGGTTCCAGGCGCTGCCCATCCTTCAGCCATGCCTCCTGTGCTCTCAGTCCATCTGCACTGGGCAGAGTAACTGGCCCATGGGGGAGCACAGGACAGATAATGTGGGACAGTCACAGGATGGTCCGTGGACAGGGAGGCTGGGGTGGGACAGAGCATCCTAAGCCCTCCATGAGGGCCAAGGAGCTGCTGAGTGTCCCCTGGACTGCCAGGAGGCACAAGGCAGTGATTATTCATATTAAGTTCCATATGTCAGCTCATGATGGGCCCCACAGTCCACCCTCCTGACACAAGGCAGCGCCACTGGTCACCACTTGGTGCTGGTTGAGCAGCTGGCACCAAGGGCTGGGACAGTCTCAGGGTGGGGAAAACAGGGGTGTTGCATAAGGGGCCTCATGAGGAAGGAGGGCAGGAGACGCCGGTTTCCCTAACCAGCACCAGCGTGCAGACGGAGAGCCAGTGCGGCCACCAGCCTGCTTCCCTCCTGCCCCCCTGCCCCATGTGCTCTCAGATCAGACTGTCTGGTCCATGGGCTCACCCACCCTGCTGCCCTGGCGGGGGCTGCTCAGAACCCCGCTCCCCCAGGGCTGCCTGCAGTCCTCTGTGTTCCTTGGGCCACCTGTGACCTTCAGGGCCACCCTTGGCAGGGTTTGGCTGGAGCATCTGGCTCTCGTAGAGGCTGAGGCCCACCGGCCGGGCAGCCCCTGTACCAGCATCCAGCCCATCCCGGTCGGGCTGCGCAGCTCACCTCCAGGAGGATTGTGTCTGGCAGGTACCGGTCCTTCCAGTGGTCTAGGAAGACCATGTCCAGCGTGTCCACGTCATATTTCTTCTTCAGCTGGGGGATGATGTCCTGGGACGCCCCGATGATGACGGTCACCTACGATAAGCTCCGTCAGTGCTGGTGCCCAAGGGGTCGGAGACCACCAGCCTGAGCGCCCAGGCGAGTGTCCACCGACAGTGTCTCTCGGGTTCTGGTGAGAGGAGTTTCCATTCCGCCCCCTCCCTCTGAGGGGTGTCCTGCTCTGTGGAACCGAGCAGCAAGAACACCCTCACAGAGTTGCGGGGGTTCCATGAAACCTGGCCCAGGAGGCTCCGTGGGCCTGGCTACAGCAGGATAAATGTGGCCTTGAACCACGAGGGGCAGGCCCCAGGCCCTCTGCCTCCCACCCACAGATGCCCGGCCCCTGTCAGTGTCCACATCTGCCACTGGGGGATGTGTCGCACCTTGTCCTGCAGGCCTGCAAACTCCAGCATCTGCTGCGTGATGGCAGCATAGTCGGGGTTGATCTCGATGGTGAGCAGGCGGGCGCTGGGCTGCAGCAGGCGGGCCATCCGCACGGCCGAGTAGCCGCAATAGGCCCCCAGCTCCAGCAACGTGGAGGGGCGCTGCTCTTGCACTACTGCATCCAAGATCAGGCCTTTGGGGGTGGGAAGAGGGGATGAGTACAGGCAGGAGGAGACCCACTCCCAGTCCGGATGAGCAACAGCTCCACTCAATGCCTGGCCCCCAACCCACCCCCAAGGCCATGGTCCCACTATACACCCCCAATCCCCTACTAGCTTCCATGGTCCCTTAGGCCTCTGTGCCTTTCCACACACTGGTCCCTCTCTTTCCATGGTCGCTGGCTGACTCCTATGGGTCCTAGTCCAGAGCTGCCCTCCATGGAAGCCCCCATCCCTTCCTGCCCATGGGCCACACTCAGGGTCTGCCTAGCTCCCTTGAGCTGAACATTTTGAAGGGTTCTGAGGGGGCTGGACAGTGACTGTCACATCTGTCCCCAGGGCTGGACTTGAGGGATATAGCACAGCACATGCCTGTGCCCATGCTGGAGTACCAAGGTCAGGAGGCAGCCCAGGGAAGGGCCCCGCGCCCAAGCTGGGCAGAACCCAAGGGGTTCTTTGCCTCCCCATGCCTGACTGGGACACCCAGGAACGCTCGGGCCACCATGCACCAGCCCCCCCCCCCACTCTGAGAGATGGCATGTGAGCACGGGGCTGCAGGAGCCCCCCCTGTCCCTCTAATATTGGCTGCTGGTCTGAACAGTGGCCTCCTGGGTGGTTTATCAAATGTCTCTCTCCATGGGGTCTCTGCACAGCCTTTGCTCCTGGCTGGGCAGATGGTGAGGCCTCCAGGGCTCCAGATAAGCCCCTACACCCCGACACCCAGAAACGGGGTGGTAACAGGCCCCTCTGGTCAAGGGGCTATGCTGCCTGGCTGGTCCCCCCATCCCTGTATTCACTGCCTGCTGGCCAGGCCACCACCCACCTTTCTTGTCACCCACGTTCATGGCCCATTCCTTCTGCGAGCAGTAGGTGTCGATGGCCTCCAGCACACTCTGCGGGTCACCCGCCACAGCGTGCTGCAGCGCGTAGCGCAGGATGCGCTGCTCCTTTGTGTCACCCATGAGCCAGTTGTTGATGGGCTGCAAGACCCACTCGTTCCAGAATAGAAAAAGTACTAAATTGTGGTGTCGCAGGAAGAGCAGCAGAGCCAGCAGCACCAGGCACAATAAAACTGTCAGCAGCAGGGGTAGGCCTTCCAGCATCTGAGACACAGTAGGGGGTGGGCGGGTGGTGGTGGGGGGCAGAGGAGAAGAGAAGGGAGTCAGGGGAGGGAGGCCAGCTCCAGGGCTTTGTGACTGGCCCGGCCCCTTGGGCTACTGCACACCTGCCCTCCTGGCTTACCTGCTTTCTCCTAGGTTTGGTGGTGCTACCACTGGTACCCCTTATGCTGATGGGGGCCCCAGGTTCCAAAGGTCCACCAAGTGCCCCAGAACATGCCTGTGCCTATGCTGTAGTCCAGACGTCAGGAGGCAGCCCGGGGAAGGGCCCGATGCCTGGGCCCTGGGCCGGGCAGAACCCAAGGGGAACATCAGCCCAACCCTCCCACAAACAGCTTCTGGCTGGGACCGAATCCTCACACACACAAGTGTCTGCAAGTGTGTGTCTGACAGCTCTGCCTGGGGCCCTGCTGGTCACCTTCCCCAACAGCCTGGGCCAGCTGCTGCCCTGACTGAGGTGGGCACAGCTGGCCTGAGGTCATAACATACGGCACTGCTGGGGGGGGCCAGTCTATGTGCAGCCCACATGGGCGCCCACTTAGGATAGTCCGGAATCTCTGTCCTTTAAGTGAGTAACCAAACAAGGACATAGGTGGTCCCCGGGCCAGGCACAGGGGGTAAGTCTCTCTTTTTTTAACCTCACCCAAGGATACGTTTTATTGCTTTTAGACAGAGGAAGGGAGAAAGAGAAAAAGGGAGAGAAACAGAAACATGGATGTGTAAGAGAAACATTGATTGGTTGCCTATCTTAAGCACCTTGACCAGGGATCGAACCCACGACTTAGGTATGTGCCCTGACTGGGGATGGAACCAGCAACCTTTTGGTAGAGGAGATGATGCTCTAACCAACTGAACTACCCAGCCAAGGCATGAGTCTATCTCTTGACAAGGAAGGCTAGCCCGGCTGCCTGCACCACAGTGGGAGCAAGATGTGCCAGTTTTACCAAACCTGCAGGTATGGTAGGACCTCCCCCTGCCCATCCCCCTTCAGGCAGGTAGCTCAGGACCTAGTCGGGTGGAGCTGGGGCAGGGCAAGGCTGAGTCAGCCCAGAGAAGAGTTCCGAAGAGATAGGAACCTCACTTCCAGAAGTGCTAGCTAGTGAGCCCAGGTGGTATTACATGAACCAACTGCCACCCCCATTCCGCTTTTTAATTTTTCACTTCAATGACTCTCAAGCCACCCCCCCCTCCTCTCTCTCTTTTATTTATTTTTTTAAAATTATTTATTTATTTTTTAGAGAAAGGGGAAGGGAAGGAGAAAGAGTGGGAGAGAAACATCAATGTGTGGTTGCCTCTCACATATCCTCCACTGGGACCTGGCCTGCAACCCAGGCATGTGTCCTGAATGGGAATTGATCCAACGACCCTCCGCTTCACAGGCCCCTCCGCTTCACAGGCCGGTGCTCAATCCACTGAGCCACACCAGCCAGGGTCAATCTCCCTTTAAAACACGCAGTCGCCTCTGAGCAAATCAAGCTCTCTTCCCTACTGCCAGTAGTTACTGAGTAAGATCTGTCCTCACGCTTCCGCCAGCACCTGGCTGGGTTGACCCCGTGACACTGCTTTCCTCCCAGGACCCACACAATGCCCCTCAGAGGGAAGCTCAGTCTCTGGCAAAGGACACAAAAGCCTCTGGCTGGAAAAACCACGAAGTTAGCCAGTCAGGCCTGGGGTGACTGCCCCTTTTTCTACTTTGGCAGAGCGAGGGTGGAGGTGGGGGGTGAGGAGTTGGGGCGGTTTAACGAGGCCGCACTACCCGGACCCAGTCCTGAGGGGTCTTGGGCTATTGTCATTGTCTCCCTGGTGCGGCAGCCATTCCCCTGAAAGGAAAGGCCCGCGGGTACCCCAAGGCCTTCCCAAGGGAACCTGTTGGGGGTATTACCGAGCTTCTGGGCCTGGGCCCCACTATGCCTCCACGTCCAGGGTTCTGCCTGATCCCAGCTGCAAGCCAAGTGTGACTCACTCAGGATGAGGAACAAGCTTCTGCAATCCAATCACAAGGTCAAAGTCCTCCCCTACAGACAGGCCCCTGCCCTAGGAGTTTGGATCCCCCACAGGAAGCGGGACACCCCACCCAGGTCTGCACCCCTATCCCCGCGTCGGATCTTGCCGCATAGGCACAGAGCTCACACTTCCTCAATCAAGTCCGGTTCCCCTTCCCCAACTCCCGTGCAGAGACGCCCCCCCCCCAAGGTCGGACCCCATCTTCTGGGTTCGAATTCCCCACCCCTCCAACCGAATCCCTCCCTCCAGGTCCAGAGACTCCTAACCGTGACCGGAGTCCTCTCAGCCTGGGAAGGACCCCAGCAATAGGTGGGATCTCTTCCCGGATGGAGCCCCGCAGCCCGCACGCGCACTCACTTTGCCCTGGCAGCCACCCGAACACCCGACCGGCGCAGGCAGTGCGGCGGGCAGCTCAGCCGCCGAGGCCCCGATGGCAGCGATGGCGGTGCGAGCGGCGGCGCTTTGGGGAGTCCCTGGGCGCTTCCGGGGGCGGATGCAAGCCTGGGCGGGTAGGGTGCGGAGCGCTTCGTTGGACACAGCAGGTAGGGCGGGGTCCGGCCGGGGCTGTCTGCCCGGGGGTTGTCCACGTGATGGTGTCCCCGCGTTCAGCAGTGTCAGCCAGGACAAGGAGTCCAGCAGTTTCCAGCCACCCCCAAAACCGGCTGGGTGACCCTGCCAGAGGTCCTGCCGGGTAAAGTTACCAGTGCTTGTTCACCCAGCGGGAGATTCACTGGGACCATCCCCTGCACACGCCACTGGCATCTGGCCACCTTCTCCCCAAGGCCCTAGTCACTGGTCTCACACAGCAAGTGCTCAAGACATTTATGTGCAGGACATCAGTGAGGAGATGATGCTAGGGAACCAGTGGGCTCTAAACGCCCACTGCCTGCCAGGCTCTGCAGGCGTCCTAGGGGAGGAAAGGACAGGCAACTCCACCTCTTGTAGCCACTGAGGACCCTGCTGAAACCAGGACAGTAATCACAGCAAGACTGAGAATGCAGGAGTGCTGTGAGGGTCCAGGGCAGGGGTAGGTCGCTGGGCAGGGTTTGGGTATGTGTTGAAGAGCTTGAGCAAGGACCAGGTGAGGGCGCCTTCACAGAGCAGCAGCTGTGGGAAAGGTGTGGGAGAAGAGAGGCTGGGCTCTCTGCCACTGCAGGGGTGCGATGGAGTTCAGGACTGTCCATGTGTAAACAGGCAAACCTGTGTACTGTTGTGGCCTTGGGACACAGCGGAGCCAATGAAAAGATTTGTAAAGGAGGTGCCCCTGTGGTCAAAAGCCAGAGCCCTTTAGGCTGAGGGTTATGCCATGATCTAGTTCGCAATTGGGCAGGAGGTGGTACTGCAAGAATTCTGCCTCCTGTGTCGGGGTGATGAGCAGATAGGAACGGCCCCAGCAAGGACGCCTGGCCAAATTTTGAGCCTCCTCCTCTTCAGCCCTGCAGCTTCTCTAAGAGCAGAAAGGTGCCTGCCCCTGTCCCAGGCTTGTGGGGAAGCTGATGCAACCCCTGAACAGAAACCAGCAGGACAGCGCTGCTGGTTTCACCTGTTCCCTAACACTTGCTGCCAGGGTGTCCCTGTGGAGGCCAGAACACCTGTGGGCCACCTGCCCTCCCAGAGCAGTGTGTGGATCACTCAGCCTTGCCACACTTGCTAGGGTCCTATGCCGGGCACCATGCTCAGAGAAGAGCAGAAAATTCAAGGACAGCAGGCTCTGAACTCAAAGGCCAGACAGACCTTTATGGGTCAGTCCTGCCCGCCGTGCCTGGCTGAGGTGGGGAGGGTGAGGCCATAAGGCACCATGGGGCATGGGGTGCACAGGTGCCTCCAGTAACCCTGCAGAGTAGCACCCACCCTCCCACCCTGGGGTTCTTTAGGGTCCTTCCTAGCTAAACCTTCCCATGACTTTAAAGGCAGCTTTCCTACACTTACAGAAGGCTCCACTGTTGGCCTCTTCCAAGTGGTTATCAGACCCAGAGGGCCCCTGGGTGTGCACAGTGAGTGGGGAGAGCAGACTGCTAAAGATAAGCCCACAATCCACAGGACCAGCTGCTCTCCCTGAGCTCTGCCTCGTAGCTGGCTGGGTGGGGTGGGGGTCCAGGGCCAGGCCTAGGGACACGGAGACTCAGCGGGCACCCTGCTGTAGCTGCCAGGAGGACGGGCACCTGCAATGGAAGGTAGGGGTGTCCTCCTTGGCAGAGCCTCCCCCTGTGGCCCCCACGGGCCACCAAAGAGATTTGGCCCTGGCCAGCAGATTTGTGCTCCTCATCTGGCAGTGGCTTTTCTCCAATAGCCATTGGTCCTTGCTTCTCTGGGCTCATAGCGAAGCCATCAGAACAACAGATAGCAGTTTAAGACCCCTTTAGAGTCCTTGAGTTGGATTTGGAATTGGGTCCACTTTGGACTGGCTGCTCGAACTGAGCTGTGGCTCCCCTAGATCCACAAGTACCTGAGCAATCATCTCAGGTGCCTTCAAAGGCCTCCTCCTGGAGGGAACCTGGGTGAGCCCTGCTGCTTGGTGGACACAGCTGAGTGTCTCCATGGGACAGGCTGCCTGCAGGCCATGGGCCGAGTGCCTGGACATAGCTCTGGGCAGCCACTCCCCAAGCTTCCTCAACAGCAACCCAGGGCATCCTCTTGGCTCCAGCTCCTGTGTCCCTGGGCACTTGGCCCAGACCCGAGTGGCCTGTGGGGCATCTACTGAGCTGAGGTCCCTGACGGGCATGGGACGCTGGGCATTTTCCCCGCAGCCAGGACGGTTGAAGTGGCCACAAAAATGGCTGCTCTCTTCCCACTGACAGGCCTCAGCTCTGCTGCTGCTGTGGGGTGAGCTCGCTGACCTTGGATGGCAGACCCAGGACCCTGGACTTTGCCCAGGAGCAGCAGTCAACTCCAGACACCCTGGCAGCAGTCTGTGCCCTCCCCTTCCTCTCTGAGCACTGACAATTTTCTGTCATTTCTTTCTTTCTTCACAGGGAGCAGGGCTGTGTCTACATTGGGTGTCCCCGACTAGGGCCCTGGGTCAGAGCTCTCACAGGCTGGCCATACCGAAGGACACACCTGCCCTCAGCTACTCCCCACCTCCTTCCCTCCCTTCACGTCCTTTTTTTGTCTGTCTCTTGACTGCCTTCCATATCAGTAGTTTACAGAAGAGACACAGGCAGTGCTTTGTATGGGGCTGCAAGGACGCAAGCAGCCCACTGTGCCAGGCTCAGGAGTGGGGGATGTAAGCTGTCTCTGACATGACACCACAGTGAGCCCCAAAGGCATTCCAGGGGGGCACTCGGCCCCACAGCTCTTACTGTTGCTCGGAGTGGGCTCCCTCCAGAGCCTGGCATGCACCAGGTGCTCTGAGAGGCCTGGCTGTGCCTCCTGATGCAGGGACAGCTCTTTGTTGTCCCTCACCAATGACAAGGTAACCTTCACAACAGAAAGACAGGTGGATGCAAGAAAAGCATTTGCATCCTTCCTGGCTCAGAACACTGGGTGACTTTGGAGTTCAGAGCAGCCCTGCCAGTTAAATTTCCTACTTGAATGGTGGGGGTGGGAGGTGCAAAAGCAACTGTGCATCTCCCTGTCTCCCCATCTCCCTGTCTCCACATTTCCCAGTCTCCCCAGCATGGCACAGTCTCGAGATCCCTGTGAACAACCTGAGTGCAGCCGCTGCCCTCCGCCCCATGTGTGTGCATCACCCCAGCTACCACAGGGTGGGGTCTTGCATCCAATGAAACAGACCCTGTGCCACTTTTAACCGGATGGGGCTGCTTGCCCTTTGGAAATTGTGTCGGCCTCCAGGGTGGGTGCCCAGACTTGTCCTGCCCTTCCTTCTTACCCTTCACTCCTTACCCCAGCAGGACGGCAGGACTACGATCTCCTGGTGATTGGTGGGGGATCTGGTGGCCTGGCCTGTGCCAAAGAAGGTATGTATCCTGTGTCCTATGTCCCACTGGTATCCCCAAGCTTTCATGCCTGGGTGGGGATGTGCCCTGAGCAGAATGCACTTTCTCTGCAGTTGGCCTCCGGGGCCCTATCACTCGGCCGGGATCACCTTAGTACTCTTGTCCCTGTGCCCCACTCCACTGCACCCCTTTGGCTGTGTGCCTTGTCCTGGTGGTTGTCTAGGCGATTGTCCTGCCTAGCCTGCTGTTTACCTGCCCGGTTAGCTGTGGGGCTGACTCATCTCCCTTCAGTCTGTTGCTGAGGTGACTCTACTTAGAATTGTATATCCAGTTCCCATTACTGGCTCCACTGCCCTTGTTCTTAGCCCTGGCACCACCCCCGCAGAGGTGATGGTTGGTTCTGGTGGCTATGCCTCGCTCTCCAGGTCACCTGGGTGTCCCGGGCACCCAGGGACGCTCAGTTAAGATGAGTGTGCCGTAAGCGGGCTGGACCCAGAGCCACCCTGAGACGCTGCATGACAGTGTCCCACTCACCCAGGCAGCGAGCACACCGCCAGTGTTTCACTGTGGACCCTGTGCTCTGCTGTTGGGGTGCCCAGAGGCCTGCTCCCCAGTCTGAACGGCAAGGAGGCAGATGTGGGAGAGTGAAAGGGAGGAGGCAAGAGAGGAACAGGCCCCCAAACAAGTGGGACTTGGGGAGGCACCCTGGCCATGAAGCTGTGGCTCTCTCACAGCCGACACTGGGTTTCAGAATCAGATGGTGTAAAGGAAATTTGCTGCCCACTGCTCTTGTTCTGAGGGGTGGGGAAGGGGGGCCAGCCTGCACTGGGGGCAGGAACCTGGGAATCTCCGGCTGATTTGGAAGTCCACAGAGAGGCTGTCAGGCCTCACCCCCTGGGCCACTGAGCCACCACAGGAAACCAACTGGACAGACGGCCAATTTTCTGTCCCTTGTAGCAGGAGAAAGCCCTGGACCTTGCATCCACTCCAGTGTCGTCCCTCTAGAGACAGATCTCAACCCAACAGAGCGCTCTGGTCTGTCTTTGGCTTTTATAACAGTGGCATTTGTCCCTGTGGATGATCACACCTTTTTACAGCTTTACTGAGACATAATTGACATACAGTCACACATTTTTAAACAACCTGATAAGGTTTGGCATGTGTTCACTGTGAAACCAGTACTACAGTCAACACAGGGAATGTATTTGTCACCCCTGTATCAGTGTGCCAGGGCTGTCGTTAAACAAGTGTCACAGACTGGGCGGTCCAAACCGCAGAAAGGTATTGTCTCGTAGCTCTGGGGGCTGGAGGTCTGAGATCAGGGTGCCAGCGGGGTCGGTTTATGCTGAAACCTCTGTCTCTGGCTGGTGCGTGGCCACCTTCTCATTGTGTCCTCACACGGTCGTCCCTGTGTGAGTGACCGTGTCCAAACTTCTTTTTGTATAAAGGCACCAGTCAGACTGTACTAATGCCCACCCCTCTCATTTTAACCCAGTCATCCCTGGAAAGGGCCTATCTTCAAACAAGGCCATATTCTCAGATTCTGGGGGGT